GTATGTAGTCATTATTTGATTATTTCAACAACGAAGATATCTACTCTGGTTTTTATTTATATAAAAACTAGACCTCTAAATTCTGTCGACTTCACATTACTAGACCTCTAGTGTATGGCAGTCATTTTTAGCAAACACACACCTACCTCCTTAACTAGTGTACACAAAACACTACAAAAAAAAATCTAGGAATAAACTTTGTGAGGGTGACCCCAAGATATTGGTCATTCATTTTTAGGACGTTCTTCACTTGATCACTTATCATAAAGAGCCTCCCATTAAAAAAGATTGTGGTTTATCTAATGATCTTGGGTATTAACAGTGATAATGCCAAAACCCAAGTGTGACTCGGTACCCTGATGTCTAAATTTGTCATCACATGATCACACACATTATTTACTTTATTTGGCACCACAATGGATATTGGAGAAGGTGTAAATGGACCCATCACCAAGAGGTGGGCCTAGTTATAGTGCATTACCTCACTTACTACATGACTAGTACTTCATCTATCTAAAAAAAAGTTCTTGACTTTGACCTACACATTTATTAAAACAATAATTCTGTTTTAATTATTACTTAATTAAATGTAAAAGAGAACAAAACGTATGCAAAAAATAAGGTAGATTTGCATTTTAAACATTTTCTGTTCATAGAAATTGAAACTAACATGTAGAACATCCAAATGAAAGTGTTTGAGTGTGGGCCAGATAGATGGATTATTTTATGACGAAATTGTTCGAAATAGAACTAAAATATAGCACTCTTCAAAAGTAGAATTATATGCTTCTTTTCCTTGAGTAGGACATTACATTTCTACTCCTAAAATAATGAATTAATATAATTGATTGCCATCCTATTTCTCTTACATTGCCGAGATCAGTCTATTGGTGGTGGCAGCAAACTCCGGCAATGGAAATTTTCCAACGGTCTTCTAACCGCAACAGTGCTTTAATCAAATGAGGGTATTTTTGTCAAATCACAAATAATATGTCGGAATTTTAAACATTGGGTTCTATCTTGAGAAAATAGAATTCTTTAATGGGAAAAGGGTCAAATAAACCTATGTACTATTGTGAAAGTATCATTTAAGTCCTCTTACTAAAAAAAGCATAACATAAGTACATCTACTATTAAAAAACGATTAACCAAGTCCACCCACCGGAAAACAACTTGCTATAGTCGGTTTTGACCTTTTTTTTCATTTTCCCATTTTCTTCTTTTCTTGCTTTACGTACACTCTAGCCATAAGCCAACCGATTCTTTCTTGCTGCAGCCATTTGTTGGCTTAACCTTTTTCTTCTTATAATTTTATCTACTCCATATCGTTCTAGCGGGTTTTATTTTTTATTTTTTTGTTTTTCTAATTATGTCAATAAAGTATCATCTTTGGCTCATAAATAATCTCATTCTTGAAAAATTAAAGATATGATTTATTATTAAAGATTCTTTTATTGTTATAAAAATCACACTTGAAATCTTTAATTTATTATCCATGTTAAAATGTAGTCATCGTCATTAAAGTTGAAGTAACACTGTTAATTCATATAACATTGATATTTTTAACATTGTAACTTCAGAAACTGTAAAAAAAATTAGAAAACCTTCGTACAAATTTTCATATACAATTATGCCGTAGATAAAATCTTAACTAAAATCATCTAGACAGTAAATGTCTAGCGTAACTAAAAAAAATTTAAACGCGGCAAAATATTTGTACACTTTTTGTGGCATCTATTTACTGTTTTTATCATGGGTTTTTCATACTGATTGTTTTTTTGTTTGTTCCTAACTCATCTAACAAAAGTTGTCGGTACGTACAAAAGATTTTGAAAATGTGTACAAAAAATACATTGTTTACCGTCTTAAACATTTAAGTCTGTTCTTACATTTATTTTCTGTAAACATGAACTCCTCCAGATGTTTTTTTCATTGTGACATAAGTTTACAAAAAAAAATCTTGTAAGAAGATTTATCAAAATCGGTTTTAATTACACAATTTTCTGGCCATGCCTGAATTTCTCCCCCCTCCCAATATTAGACATTAGTTGTCTTTGAAATTTGATTTTTCGACCGACTTTTTCGATTGCCTAACTTTATAGAAAAAATTGACGTACAGTGAAATTTTTTTAAAACGTGTACAAATATTATACAATTGGACTTACGGAGTGACACGTGATGCAACAAAAAGAGAGGCAACAGATGTTTTTGGTCTGTGTAAGTCTTGACCAGTATGTTTAAGTCATGTTTGGGTTTGATCTAGTAAACATTTGGTGAATGTGTATTTTATTATTATCTTAATATATATGACCTTATCTGGTTAAATTTGATCTAATCTGATATGATTAAGTCGGGTGTGGTCTTGTATGAGATTGAAAATTGTAATTAAAAATAACCTAAGAAGGAAGGAAGAAAAATGTAAAATAGAAAAAGAAAAAATGCTAAGAAAAAAGAAAAAGGAAATGTGGAACGAAGAGAACAACGAAGGCAAAAAAAATTAGGAGAAAACAAAGTTGAAAGAGAGAATAAGTTAACGAAAGAACAATGAGAAAATGAGCTTGAAGCCTTTGGGGTACAGTGGGATGTGGGAGGAGAAAAACGGCCTGCAAAAAAGGTTAAAGAATATGCAAAAAGGAAAAGAGAATGTGGATGACTTGTTATAGCAGGTTGCTATTAGGTCACTTGACCATATTGATGATTTTTTGAAAGTAAGTATACTTAGGTGATTCTTTTTCTAGTAGAAGGGCTCAGGTGATAGTAATAATAAAAGGGCTTATTTGATCCTTTTTCCTTCTTTAATTTAATTCTATTTGGTAAATCTCCCTTATTTTATTACACATCTACAACTCTTAAAAACAACACGTTACATCTTAAATCATGCTTTCATTTATGCAAATTTTTGCACACAAATAGGCCCAACCTTTATGACACGAGATCTTGTTTATGGATTACGGAAAATTAGTTTACGTTCTAGTGATTACAAGTGTGACCAAAGAATGGAGCATAGGCCCCCACTCTTCCGACTCAAGAAGTTGATAGTATCCACTTTTCAATACAAAAATATTATACCCTCGATTAAAAAGTGACACGTCTTTTAGGAATTACTATCAAGGCATGCATAAGGGAAGATAGTTCCACATAATAATTGACTAACAATATATATTTAACTCTTTTCTTGTATAATAATATTAGTATGAATGACGAAAATAGACATATTTAGAAGCTATGCTAGAACTACCATTTAAGAGCAAAAGCTGAATTTGAATATAATAAAAATGTACTACGTATACTACAGAATCAAAAATTAATGTTTAGTTGACTACACAAATAGTACTTGTTCGAGGGGATTATACATACACACATACATATGAATATACGTAGTATATATTATTACAGTATACACATATAATATGGTATGTATATATTATTACAGTATATATACATACACACATACATATGTAATAATATGTGACATATTATTGAAATATATACACTCCGATCACCCCGTCACCCGTATGGTCCAAATAGGAAAAAAAAACTTTTTCGTGAAAATAAGGACCCATCTGGCACATGAGAATTGGGAATTTTTTTCTTTTAGATGTAAAAAACATCTCAAATCCAAAATCTAACACTGTCAACGATGAATGATTGATTAATTTAAGGCATAATTAAAATGTCATAGTAAAGCTAATCAACATACTCTTTCACCACAAAAACTGTTGTGTTATTTGAACAAAGAATACGAAGAATATATATGCATCTTTAGCAACTAAAAGTGTGGGTTCCATGATGTAGCTAGGGGATAGAATTGGATCGCTAGGGCATAACACTTTATCCTTTGATTTCAAAGAAACCACGCACTATAGAAGAGAGGTGGGAAGCAATTGGCGCCCAAGGATTTAGTTGACTGCAGTCGTTTCTCTAGGATTCTAGGGTTTCTCTAATTAGGCAGGATTTTGGAGTACCAATGAGATCTCTGTAAGTGATCTCGGTTGTGGTATCTGATGTGAAGCTTCCTCCTGGTGCAAGTCTAGTTCGGGACTGGAGGTGCAAATTCAAGGAGAACATGATGCACAAGAAGAAGGGCGAGGAAGAAGATGTAGTATTCTCAGTTCGTCCCCCTCCAGAACTGCCGCCATGGAGGGATCTGGTGGTTAGGATTTGACAAAAGACGCTTCAAGTTTGGATCTGGTCGCATGCGGTTTAATTTATTGCTCTGTTTTTCTTTCCAGTTTTACTTATGCCTTTTTAGACTTTTTACTATGTTTTTGGCTTTCTTGTGTTAGAGGTATTTCGGGGGTGTTTATGGTTGTTATTTGGCTCAAATCTCCTGTATGTTTAGCGAAAAATTTCAATCTGTTTTGGGCGAATTTTACAATGTCTTATCAGAGGCTGAGGGAACTTTGTTGCTATTTTGTGTTTATTGAAGTGGTAAAGAGTACGATGAACTCAAAGGTCAGAAATAACTCTATGTTGCTCTTTTGGTAGTTAGCGATTCGTGTTACTTCTTTGGAGGTGGCGGTCTCAAATTTTGATCGTAGGCCTTTTCTTGAGTCTAGATGGAGTCTAGTAGAATATAGTTGGTGGATCTTGAATTTTTGGCTGGTTGTAACTGCAAATTATTGGTGGATCTTGAACTTTTCTTAAATAAAAAAGTGCGGGTTCCATAATCCATACACCTTATATGTTTAAATGTATAGTACAAAAGATTAAATGATAAAGGATTTAATGTATGGAATAGCAAATAAAAAATGAAATCTAATGATTTTAAATGTTTCAAATAATGCATAAAATGAGAAATAGCTTTGATTTTTTATAATAAAATGAAATGTTTTTGTAGTAAAGGGTAACATTTTAACATAAAAGTGCTAATACATGATGGAAAACGAAAACTTCACATATCCTAGGTCAAGCACCAGTCTTAGTTTGACCTCACCACATACACATAAGTATATATACCCCTCTCTTTCTCGGTCATTTCCTTCATCTATAATAAGCCCAAACAACAACAATTTTACCCCTACCTACTCTTCTTTTTTTCGTGAAGAAGATAGAAAGAAAGATATTTGAAATATACTCCCATCCGAAGATAGCTACTATTATGTGCAACTTTAAGCCCTCCTCCTCTCCATCCTCACTACTTGTCTCTAGTAACAAAAACCAATTCCTCAACTCCCTTAATAAACCTCCATCCATGGATCCCGACCATGATGACCTTCATAGATGGCCAACCCCTCAAGAGGTAATTAATTAAGATCATACCCATGCACAAAAAATTCTTTAAATTTCAAAGTAAAGTAAAAAGATTAACTTTTTTGGGTTTTTAATTAGCATGCAAATATCCATTAATTAATTAGTTAATTAATGTGATGTAGGCTTTGGAAGAAGTGAAAGCCTTAGGGAAGATTTCAGGGCCAACAGCCATATCAGGCCTGCTAATGTACTCCAGAGCAATGATCTCCATGCTCTTCCTCGGCTACCTCGGAGAGCTCGAGCTCGCCGGCGGCTCGCTCTCCATCGGCTTCGCCAACATCACCGGCTACTCCATCATCTCCGGCCTCTCCATGGGTATGGAGCCCATTTGCGGCCAAGCTTACGGCTCCAAACAAATGAAGCTTCTTGGACTCACCTTGCAAAGAACAATCCTTCTCCTCCTCTCCACTTCCATCCCCATCTCCTTTGCCTGGCTGAACATGAAGAGCATCCTCCTATGGTGCGGCCAGGACCCCGAGATCGCCTCCGCGGCCCACACGTTCATCGTCTTCGCCATCCCGGACCTCTTCTTCCTCTCCCTCCTCCATCCCCTGAGGATATACCTCAGAACGCAGGGGATCACCGTGCCGTTGACTTACTGCTCCGGCATATCGCTCCTCCTCCACGTTCCCCTGAATTTCCTTCTTGTCAAGTATCTGGGCCTGGGAATTGCAGGGGTGGCCATTGCCATGGTCCTCACCAACCTCAACCTCTGCCTCCTCCTCTGTTTCTTCATATACTTCTCCGGCGTGTACAGAGACTCCTGGGTGGAGCCCAGCTCCGACTGCCTGGGTGGCTGGTCGTCCTTGCTGGCATTGGCCATCCCCACTTGCATCTCTGTCTGTCTGGAATGGTGGTGGTACGAGCTGATGATTATGCTGTGCGGGATTCTGGTCAACGCCAGAGCCACCGTCGCTTCCATGGGGATTCTGATTCAGACGACCGCTCTGGTCTATGTATTCCCCTCCGCTCTGAGCAGCGGCGTGTCGACCCGGGTCGGGAACGAGCTCGGGGCGAGCCGGCCGGCCCGGGCGCGCATATCCATGATTGTGTCTCTGTTCTGCGCGGCGGGGCTGGGCGTGGCGGCGATGCTGTTCGCGACGGTGATGAGGGACCGGTGGGGGAGGTTCTTCACCGGAGACGAGGAGATTCTCCGATTGACGGCGATGGCGTTGCCGATTGCGGGTGTCTGTGAGCTGGGGAACTGCCCGCAGACGACGGGGTGTGGGGTCCTCAGGGGAAGCGCCAGGCCGAGGATTGGGGCCAACATAAACCTGGGATCATTCTACCTTGTCGGGATGCCGGTTGCGATTGTTTCGGGTTTCGGGCTGAAGATGGGCTTCGCCGGGCTGTGGTTCGGGTTGCTTGCGGCTCAGGCGTCGTGCACGGTTCTCATGCTCCGCGTCCTCACCGCAACCGACTGGACCCTCCAAGCTGAGCGGGCCAAACAGCTGACCCAATCGTCTTCTTTGCCGATGGTGGGTCGAGATAATACTAAGCAAAGCATGGCCGCGCCGGCGCCGGCGGCGGATTTTGCAGATATTTTTTGCGGCAAAGATGGTGGTGATGATACCTTCTCCTCTGACGGTAATGCTTCGCTTGAAACGGATCCTCTCGTTACAATTGTAATTTAAATTAATTAATTATTACTGGATCGATCGATATGATGAACCACAGTTAATTAATTATTACTAGTACAAGTAGATTTTACTAATCCGTGCGAGTTGTTACCCTATCATTGATGCATGGTGGATGAATAGGTTCATGTGAATTAACTGAATTTCGTTCAAACAAAATAACAAAGACAAAGAGGTACCTAAGTTGGAGCAGTAAATTTTGATACTAAATACTACTCCCTCCGTTCTCAAAAATACTTCACACTTTCCTTTTTGGGCCGTTCCCAAAAATTCTTCTCACTTTCCCTTTTTAGATAATTTGTGTGGCTCACATTCAATTTACATTTTTGTCACACAACCACAACCACACATTTCCACTTTATTTCACTTTCTTAATAGGCGTGCCAAGTCAAACCGGGAAGAATTTTTAGGAACGGAGGGAGTACCTTCTTTCTTAAATAATTACAACATGTTCAATTTTACAGTATTCACATTCTTTACAGTATTCACATTTTGAAAAAATATTGTTATATTTGTGTCATTGTAAATTTTCAAAATTTTATTTTTTAATTTTTTTTACTGATAGAGAACTATACATATTAACGGTCAAAGTTGTGTCTCGACAAATGTGAAATGTTGATTGTTGCATTTATTTAAGAACGGATGAAGTATTATGCTTCGTGAAATAAAAAAATAAAAAATAATGTTATACATATTTGAGATAGACATAACTGTATTCACATACTCCATCTATACTAGGTATTATAGAATGCTTTAAACGAAAGTGACAAAATGTTTGGGATGTTTAAATAAAGTTGGCAATGTTTTGTTGTATAGGGAATAATTTTGTTGTAAAAAGGAGTTAATCTATTTTTTTTTTTACAATTACTATAAGGTGACAACTCCGGTACCCATTAAAAAAATGGGGTACCGTACCTACCATTAAGTTGATTGGTCCAACTCATTATACCATTTTTAATTTAGATTTAAATAATTCAACTGCAACATTCTGATTGGTCCGTGTAAACAAATGTATAGTACATTATGAGTACCATAAAATCTACCTTACTATAATGCATTTGTACTATATAATGTCAACCTTAATTCAGATAGGATTGACTTTCGAAGGCAATAGTGGTATGCAAATTGCTTGAGAAATTGAAGTCATCAACTCAAGAAGTCTTATGAAATGAACACCTCAAAATCTTAGCAAAGGTGCACTAGGTTCCCCTATCATGTCATACTCTCATAGTTTGGGACTTTGGGTTTTAGAGGGCTGGTCTTTAACCATTTGATCACAAGGGGTTTTGTTGATGCAAACAAAATCTTTTCCAAAGCCAAATAAATGTTTTTCAACCAAAGTAAGGTTTTGTTGATAATGGGCATTCCAACAAAAAAAGAACACTAGACATGACATGTTGTACAAAAACGGTGATTAGAACATATACGTGTGTTCACCGTCACGTAATAATACAAAAAAAGCAAATAATGTGCCCCACAATCAAAGATAGACATCGATAACGAAAATGGCATGTAAATCATCAGGCAAGCACCAACCCCACATTTAAGAAGACCCTACACACACGAAATATATGAGAATGGTCAAGAAAAACTCTCGAGAGGGAGATTGTGAGTTATGAGAGTTAATAGGGAAAATTAGCTCCAATGAAGTCAAATGTGAGTAGTCTAACATTATCACCTAATAATGCAACTAGGAAGGAGACATATGTGAGAGTATATGTGAATAAGAATGATCGAGATGAATTAGAAAGGAATCAATATAACCACGAATTTTGTGGGGACGCCAATCTATTAGTTCGAAAGCGTCGCGGAGAGCAACAAAAAATCCACCAAACCTCCGCCCTCATTAACATCAACGAGTAAAATCTCCTTGTGCTACAAGACCCTATAATAACAACAAAAATTGACAAAACTATTAGGAGTAGAAAGCAAAACGATTAAGAAATTACACACTTCCAAAAAGGAACTAACCAATCCATTCGTATACCATATCATGAAGTTAGGCACAAGGAAAGAGCAATAAACCAGACCAACCGACAAATAATGTCATTTGATCAGCCCTTAAGAGAAGTAAATAATGTTAAAACGGAAATGTAAACAAAACCGAATAATGGGAACTCAACATATATAAGAGGATGCTCTTTTGTTAGGGATTACTATTAAAAGCAAGTAAAATGAAAAAATGATAATAAAACCAAGTGTGTGCATGCAAGAAGGGTAGAGAGAGAGAGAGGGGGAGGGAGGGAGAGTAATGTGCAATGCATTTGGGTGGCCTCCCATAAAAAGTTATGTTATAACTTGTTGTCTTGTTATATGCATTGTGGTTAACTTTTCATCTTTGAAGTGAAAAATGATATGTTGGGGGAATTAATTTAATTTGAAATGTATCAATCCATTCATTAAATATTGTCTTGAAGTGTTTTTCATCCCAAAGCCTTCAAGCCACAAGAGGGCGGTCTTATACCCACTCACATATAGCTAGAAACTTACACCACCTTCAACTGGATTTTCATAAAAGAAATTGGACTTCAGTCTCTTCTCTTATATCACGTTTTATTACTATGGGCTCCTTTTTAAGTTTCTTCTCAATATCACCTTTTTCAAAACTATCTTCTTATTGAACTAACAAACTTAATAAAGAGGATATATATCAATGTATGATCTCCATCACCACATTTTATCAAAATCAACTACCTCTAGCTAACTCCTCACTTCATATGAGTTCCCTCAAATCTCTTCATTATCACCACCTTCATTTAAATGACTTGGAACAATATTATTACAAAAGTTCATTGATAAAGGATTTATCATTAATACATCAAGTTAAGAGTTTTAGGTCCACACTTGAGGGTTCAAGTTGAGATGACGGTGGTGTGGCAGTAACCCCTGAAAAAAGGTCAGTAGCAACAATAAGTCAAACTAAATACAAAAAAAAATGTTACATAATTTAAGTACTATAGAAATTAAGAAGCTTCTGTTGAACTGAAACAAATGTCCATCCTCTTCCTCTTCTGATGTTTAAGTCATCTCTTAAGTTCTCATGAAACCATTTCTATGTAGCTTTTGTCTCAGAACCCACAACCGCTCATGCGATTGGAAACATTTGGTTGTTTTTGTCCCATGCCACTGTCGAGAAGATTCCCCCCTTCACATTAGACTTAAGAAAAGTGTCATCTATTCCAATCAGCCTTCTACACCCCTTTAAGATGCCTTTCTTGCAGGTATCAAAACAGACTTAAAACCTATCAAATATTGAAGTGTACTGCATGACATGAAAGTGCAAGTACTCTTTGTGTTGTACCTCACTATTTCAGCCTTATAATCCTCTGTGTTGTTGTATTCTGCCTAGATGTCTCCCTTTTTCACCTTTCTAATAATTGCCTCGTCTTTCTTCATTTGCTCAAGAGACACTTCACAGTTAGGTTTTTTGTTTACCATCTCTTTCATGGATGCCACTTTCATCTCAGAAACATCGACTTTTGAATTAGATTTTTTTAACCGGCCATCTACTTGTGACACTGGGTATTTACCACCCAGGGTTACAAGTATGTTCACGAAGATAAGTCTTTAAAACCCTTTTCTGGTGCTACGTCTATTCTTTATGCCAAGATAAGCTACCGATGAACACATTTTATTTAAATTTGAACACTTGACCCTAAGCATATTGGAAGAGTTTTTAGACCAATAGTAAGAATACCTATTAGTGATAGAATATTTTTCCACCTCTTTGACTTGAGAATTCGATTCAAAGCTCATTCCCAATGTGAAGTCAACCTTGTCATTAGACTTGAAACTTAGGAATCTGCGTTTTGTTGTCACACTCTATTCTTCATTTTCTAATCTTGATTTAGAATTTCTTTCAACACTTGAACTGAAATAATCAGTTTCATGGCCATCTTCATCAAGAAATGGCTCTTCATCAAGCAGGTGTTCCTTATATGTTTTGTGCCCTTTACTTTTAGTAACACTATTTGCATTTTTCACCAACTTCATTAGCAGCATTCAACTTTGTTCCAACTCCTCATCAATTTTATTTTCAGAATTCAATTCATTTCCAAACAATAAACCAGCTTTTGTCTCAAGAAGCGGATCTTTGAATCCCAAATCAACAATACACAACACATTCATACCACTGTGGCACTCTCTATCTCTGCTTCATCAATAAGAGTCTTCACCCCTATCTATACCAAACAAATGTGTAACCAGTTAACCATCACACTCATTTTTAAACTATATATTAAGAATGCCATAAATAGTAGGGGAATTAACTAATCATCAAGACCATAATTTTTAAATACAGTAAATCTCCAAACAATTAACATCAACCACAAAGTAATCTGAGGGCTACGAAATCTATGACTAGGCATTTAATTAAACATAGCACATATCAACATACATTCAAAGTATAGTAATTCTATTAGTATTGAGCAAAACCCCAACACGAGGGGACAAAATTTTCACATAAATAAGGAATAAAACAAAGTTATTTTTAGGGTTATGCAATTTATAACTTCAGTGATACATTCCTCATGATTAGGGATAAAACAAATTCCACATAAAATTATGGTTGTAGCTAGGGATGCACCGAACATTTATACAAAAGTATTATTAGGGCTACAACATCTTTCATCTAATTTGTCATCGTTCATATATCTTGGCATTACTGCTTTCATTACGTGGTTACTCGATCTTCCTATTTAACCTTTATGAACTCCATCGTCGTAGTCTTTCTCGTTGCATGTCATGAGAGTAGAATTTGTTAGGAAATTGATGTAACGTACCTCGAAAGTACAGCAGCGGAAGTTTAAAATTTTCCCAAACAGATCTTCCCTGATTATGACAAAATAACGAATATGATAATAATAACAGACCTGAGTTAGAACTTACAGATCTTCCAGCCTAGCGGTGATAATCCTTGACCTTAGGTATCCACGTGATTTCTCCTTTCCGAAAGAACGGTTAGATCTCCCAAAGAGAAAGGCTAGGAAAATCTCTTCGCAGGGAAATATACTAGTAATACTGAATCTAAAAACTGGTCTCAAATTATGAAGGAGGAGGATGTATTTATACTAGTTCTAAACTAGTTTCCCAATCACACTGAAAGTCTTTCTGTTCTAATCTAATTAGGACCAATCTCATTTATTTAATCAAATAAATAAATAAAACAAACAAATTAACAATAA